CCGAACCCTGCACAGCACCTGGCCTGCCTCCTGCACCCTGGGCCGGGGGCCCAGACTCTCTGGACTAAGCAGCCTGGGCTCACAGCCTGGGTGGCAGAGACACCGAGACAAGCCCCCGCCTGACACAGGGTGGCAGAGAGCTGAGTCCCCCGCAGGGGAGGTGCAAGTACCCTCTCCCCTCCCCCCCCCCAGCATGCGTGGCGTTCGGCTCTGGCCAACCCCTGACACCCGGCAGAAAGCCAGGGCCCCACATGCCCCACTCCTGGCCAGCCAGCAGGAAATTTCACCTGCCCTGTGGGAAGCAGCCGGGAGCGCTGTGCACTGAGTGTCTGCAGTCTCTTTGGGTGGCTGCTAATACACAGGGGATCCGGGTATGGCTGAGTCAGGCTCTGAACTGACGAAAAGGCCCCGCAAGCCCCCAGATTCTGCCCTGAGCCCCAGGGCCAAGGTGAGAGCAGGTGCCTTTCCCACAGGCCCCTAGGGACTGGGAACAGGTCTGGGAACTGGTACAAGGTGGGTGCCCTGCCCTAGCATGTGTCGGTGACACCTCCCAGAGCAGGGATGGACCCGAGAGTCCTGGTTCCTGGTAGGGTTACCAGATGGTTTAAAAAAAATACTGGACACACTTGACATTCTATCACAATCTACATTACATCTTATCTAGAAAATACCGGACATCCATATTTTCTCATTTATATTTTCTCAATTTGTTTCCTGAACAGAAAGCTCAAATACTGGACAGTCCGGTTCAAAACCGTACACCTGGCAACCCTACTCCCAAATATACTCACTAGCCCTGCTGGGGGCCCTGCCCCCCACCCCTGCCCTCTCCACTGCGTAGTTCCATACGGCCTGGCTGGTAGACACACACAGTGTGAGCATGTCTACCAGCCAGGCAGTACCCTACGTACTGATACTCATCATAATAATAAAACATGCTTAATTAGAAAACAGACATTTCTATGTCTGGTATTTTCTCGATTTGTTTCCCAGACAGAAAGCTCGAATTCCGGACTGTCTGTTCAAAACCGGACACCTGGCAACCCTGGCTCCCGGCCCTGCGGGGAGGTGTCAGTCACGGGGGGGTTGTGTGGACACTGACCGTGTCCAGGAAGCGGCGCCCAGGCCCTGCTTGTCCCAACCCCAGGACCTGCCGGGTCCCTCCCTGCTGCCAGGGCAGACCGTGCAGCGCTCACCCAGCAAGGCTGCTCAGTCAGAGCCCAGCCCCCCCCGGTATCCCAGGCGTCCACCCGTCCCTGCCCTGATCCAGGGCTCTCCAGGCCAGCGAGCCCCACGTCGTCGAAGTGCTCACAGAGGTTCTCCGCATGCTTGTAGGTGCAGGTCCCCAGCGCCGCCTCCGTCCCCTGGCACTGCACGTCCATCATCAGGACAGGCTGTGACTCGGGGCCCGGGCTGAACACCAGCCCAGCTGCCTGCACACCACGGCCACGTCCTTCTCGTCCCAGCCGTCGTCACACACGGTGCCCCAGCGCCCAGCCACAAGCACCTCCACTCGCCCGGCGCAGCCGTGGGGGCCCCCCACCAGCCTCACATCTGGCAAAGCAAACAGCAGCTGGGACGCCTACTCCGGGCTGCGGGAGCTGAATGCCCAGCCCAGCGCGAGGCATCGTCAGCGAGTGCAGAACAGGGCAGAACGAGCTTCCCCCGTGCCAGGCAAATCCCAGCGCAGGATGGAACCAGCAGCACAAAGACAAACCAGAGCGGCTGGGGCTGGAGGAAGAAGCTGATGTCACTTTCCCAGGGGAACAGCCCCACGGCGAGGAGTCCCCCGCAGGAATAGCCTAGCGCCATGCTTCTTTGATCTAGTTCTGTGCTTGAACCCAGGCAGCTGCCTCGCTCCTGTTGCCTGCTGGGACCTGCCCTAGGGCAGCCACCTCTCCAAAGCACGGCTGTGGTCACCTCTCCTCAGGCCATGCTGTGCTGCCAGAGGGTGGGATCCAGGCCTGGGCTCTGGCAAAGGGCAGGTACCAAGGAGACAGACACTCCCAGGCCAGTGCTTGGGCCAGCAGGCAAAACCATTGGGAGCGAGCCCCACAGCACCTGCAGGATGCTGGTGCCGGGAGGAGCAGAGTCCCTGGCAGCCCGGCCGGGCCCCGGGCCGGCTGCCCATCGGCTGCTCCACCCTGCTCCTAACCCTGGTGCACCGAGCAGCCCCATCAAGGCCTTGCCCCGCCAGCTCAGACTGAGCCCCTCTCCCTGTGTGGGGGCACGGGGCAGGGCTCAGCCACAGGCCCAAGGGGGAACAGGAGCGCTCTGTGTGCCCCAGCTGGGGATGCAGCCAGCTGGCGGGCGCCTTATGCAGACAGGGGCACCTCCCCAAAGCAGAGGCAGAGGTAGAGCCGCAGTCCATGGCTCCCCGGGGCGAGCTGCCAGGGAGCCCTGCGCACTTCCCCTGTGCTGCTTGGGTGACTGTTAACAGGCAATCCAGGCACTGGCGAAAGGGACCCTCAAGCCCCCAGATTCCACCCTGAGCCCCACTGCCTGGTGAGGGCAGGGGACATGTTGGAGTGGCT